CAGTAAAAAGGATATCAGGACTGATGATATTAAATACCGATCCAGGACTTGTGATATCGGATACTGGTGCAGGACTGGTGATATAAAATACCGACCCAGGACTGGTAATATTAGATACCGGTTCTGGACTGGCGATATCAGATACCGGTTCCGGACTGGTGATATGAGATACCGGTTTCAGACTGGTGATATCAGATACTGGTTCAGGACTGGTAATGTTGGATACTGGTTCGGGCTGGAAATATAGATATCGGTTCAGGTCTGGTGATATTAGTTACTGGTTCAGGACTGGTGATATCAGATACTGGTTCAGGACTGGTGATATCAGATACTAATTCAGGACTGGTGATATCAGATACTGGTTCTGGACTGGTGATATCAGATACTGGTTCAGGATTGGTGATATCAGATACTGGTTCAGGATTGGTGATATCAGATACTGGTTCAGGATTGGTGATATCAGATACTGGTTCAGGACTGGTGATATCAGATACTAATTCAGGACTGGTGATATCAGATACTGGTTCTGGACTGGTGATATCAGACACTGGTTCAGGATTGGTGATATCAGATACTGGTTCAGGATTGGTGATATTAGTTACTGGTTCAGGACTGGTGATATCAGATACTGGTTCAGGACTGGTGATATCAGATACTAGTTCAGGACTGGTGATATCAGATACTGGTTCAGGATTGGTGATATCAGATACTGGTTCAGGATTGGTGATATCAGATACTGGTTCAGGACTGGTGTTATCAGATACCGGTTCTGGATTGGTGATATCAGATACCGGTTCAGGACTGGTGATATTAGATACCGGTTCAGGACTGGTGATATCAGATACCGGTTCTGGATTGGTGATATCAGATACCGGTTCAGGACTGGTGATATCAGATACTGTTTCAGGACTGGTGATATCGGATACTGTTTCAGGACTGGTGATATCAGATACTAGTTTAGGACTGGTGATATCAGATACTGGTTCTAGACTGGTGATATCAGATACCGGTTCAGGACTGGTGATATTAGATACCGGTTCAGGACTGGTGATATTAGATACCGGTTCAGGACTGGTGATATTAGATACCGGTTCAGGACTGGTGATATTAGATACCGGTTCAGGACTGGTGATATCGGATACCGGTTCAGGTCTGGTGATATCGGATACCGGTTCAGTGCTGACTTGTGCATAGGGCATGGGATATTGGTACAATATTCATGATGTGATCTGCATGTTGTCATGCTGAATGGCATATCAACAGCTTTTTCATTATCTATGTATTTTTACTTTTCAGTTATTTGTGGCAGATAATCAAGGTGGTGAGGACACCACAATTATTCAACATTTGAGTTTCATAGGAAGTCCTGTTCAAGCAGCAACAAATATGAGTGACTTTAAAAGAGTAAGTTTATGTTTGTCTATCAAGTATATTTGCCATCTGGTGTATTTGCAGTTTACTGTCAGATAGATTTGTAATTTAATGTTAGGTAGCTTTGTACAATGTAGTTTGTTTAGTGTCTAGTGTCTGGTAGCTCTATGCAGTTAAGTTTAGTGCCTGGTAGCTTTAAAGAATGTTTTTTTTTTTGGCTTTTAGTGTCTGGCGGCGATTTATTATTCATTTTGGTTCCTAGTAGACATGAAATTAGTAGCCTGGTAGTCTTTAAGCAAAGTATTTATTTTGAGTGTCTTGTGGCTCTATGTAATTCACTTTGGTGTCTTTGTACATTGCAGTTTAGTGCCTGGTACATTGCAGTTTAGTGCCTGGTACATTGCAGTTTAGTGCCTGGTACATTGCAGTTTAGTGCCTGGTACATTGCAGTTTAGTGCCTGGTACATTGCAGTTTAGTGCCTGGTACATTGCAGTTTAGTGCCTGGTACATTGCAGTTTAGTGCCTGGTACATTGCAGTTTAGTGCCTGGTACATTGCAGTTTAGTGCCTAGTACATTGCAGTTTAGTGCCTGGTACATTGCAGTTTAGTGCCTGGTACATTGCAGTTTAGTGCCTGGTACATTGCAGTTTAGTGCCTGGTACATTGCAGTTTAGTGCCTGGTACATTGCAGTTTAGTTTATGGTACAGAGCAGTTTAGTTTATGGTACAGAGCAGTTTAGTGCCTGGTACATTGCAGTTTAGTGCCTGGTACATTGCAGTTTAGTGCCTGGTACATTGCAGTTTAGTGCCTGGTACATTGCAGTTTAGTGCCTGGTACATTGCAGTTTAGTGCCTGGTACATTGCAGTTTAGTGCCTGGTACATTGCAGTTTAGTGTCTTGTAGATTGATGTTTAGTAGTGCCTAGTAGCTTTGAGAGTCAAAGTTAAAAAGTCATTTTTATCACAGATGTAGACTTGGGTGGGTGCACTTATGTCTGATGTGGTTGTTAATATCAGTAACTGATATTTCACATTAAATCTGATGATTTATACTACACATGCTAAACATCATCAGTCTGAAAGCCAAATCCTGAATCTCACTCCGGGTAACAACTGTTACTAGAATGATTCAATAATTATTAAATTTAAATTTTATTTTGCAACAATATTGCTATGAATATATCTGCTCATTTAATAAACAATGTGCTTAGATGTCTACCTAATTAGCATAAATTAGCATATCATTTGTAAGTATAATTCTGTAAAGTATAAACTTCTCTGTTTTAACCCTCAAAGTAGGTTATGTGATAAACAGGTTTTAACCTGTTGTACCATTTCTCATGTATGTTTTCCTCTTTCTCCACAGGTAGCTGGCAAGAAAGGAGAAAGTCATTGATGATGCATTACCGCAGTGAATCTGAATTACTGTAAAATACTTTATTTTCGCTGAAGGAATGATTCAGTGAAAATAAAATCCAGCGAATATACCTTTTTTCCTATATTTTACATTCGACAAGTTAAAAATCAGTGAAAATTATTTCCATACAAAACACCCATAAAGTTTTTTCAGCTAAAATCAATTCCAGCTAAAATAAAGTATTTTACAGTACTACTAATTTGATATTTATGGTTATTTTAATATGACTTGATTCCACGTTTTTTGCTCTGTTGTCGTCATAGATGAAGATCAGATCTGTTCATATCAGTTGATTGGCTGTTGTCATCCATCGTCTGTTCGTCAACAGTTACATTTTCATCTTCTACTTGAGAACTACCAACTCAATAGGTTTGATACTTGGTTTGTAGGTTACTTTGGTGGACCTTTGTTAGATTTGTTCATTTTGTTACAATATCTTTAATATTTTGGCGAATAGTTTTTTGTCATTTTTGGTAAAATATGTTATTTTCTATTTCTTCTTGAAATCTACCGGCTCACTTGCTTTGATACTTGGTATGTAGACACATTTTATTGTCCTTTTGGGTAAAAAAAATTATTTTCGACAACTTCTTGAAAACTACCAACCTAATTGCCTTGATACACGGTATGTTCACCTTGGGTGGATCTCTTTCCAGATTTGTTCATTTCAGGATGATATTTACAATTTTCTATTTTTAGTGAATATTTTTGTCATTTTTTGTACAAAATGATAATTTCACCTTCTTGAAAACCACCAGAATGATTGCTTTGATATTTGAGGTATATATTATTTTTCTTATCAATTTTAATTATAACATTATAATTTTTGATCAAATGTTGGCATGTTATTAACAGCCAGTACCAAACTACTTTTGTGTGAGTTTACTTCGCTTTGACTTATGGGTGTGCACTACTTGATTTGACACACTGTTTTGTAGGACAGCGGAGCAAATTTGACCGTCAGGATTCTTGTTCTCTTATGCCATCATTTCTGGTGCAATTCGTATGCACACTTGTTGTCTCACTAATAGAGTTGATTTTGTTGGTGTCTTCAGTCAAAATATGAAGTCAGATTGTTGATTGTGGGGAGACAGCTCTTCAATGTGGTTCCTAATTTCCTTCATTTTTTTGTTTAAGAATGTCAATTTTCTTCGATAAAATTGCAAGGTGCCCTTTTCAATGTATGATTTTCTATTGAATCAGTGATGCCGCAGGAAATGAGTATAACGAGTTACATCACAAAGAATCTGTCTGATTGGCTTAGAAGGGCACACAGATCATCAATTTATGTGTACTTTGGTGCATCATCAATTCATGGGTACACATCTGTACGAGTCATTTGTTTTGTGTTAAATATCTGTACGATTCTTTTACGTGTACACAAATGCATCATCACTTCTTGTGTACACTAATGCATCATCACTTCTTGTGTACACTGATGTCATCAATTCAAGTGTACTTTTGTATCATAACTGCAATGGTTATTTTGCCAGTTTTAATAAATGTATCAAATTGGATTAAATAGAAATGTCTTTCTCATTTCATATATTGTAAAATACTTTATTATAGCTGGGATTAATTTTCATTGAAAAGGGTTTTGGCGTTTTGCATGAAATTTATTTTCACTGTATTTTAGATTACCTATTTGAGTATGTTGGCGAAAATATTTGACATTACTTTTATAAAAATCCAGTACTGTAACATATTCAATGGCATTAATTTAGGGGAGTATTTTGAGGATCCTAGATTGAAACAATTCTCAAAAGTAAGCGCAAAATTAAATACACTGTAACTTCAATATAATAAACATTTTTATAATGAACACATAACATGTCTCCTGCTCACAACAAACCCAATGTATTATGTGATTCATTATAGTGAACATTTCACTATAATCAACTAATAGACCATTTTCCGTACACTGCGAGAATGCGTGAAATCAAACGTAAAAACAGGACAAACAAAGGTCATAGCGTCGTAGTCGCGTCAAACATCGCGTGGGGTTCGACAAAAGCGAAAGTATTTCGGGGACATTTCCATGCTTAATAATGTGCTGTCCACATTTGATGATAGGCAATTTCGATTAAGTAAGGGTATTCGGAAGCAATATTCCTCTGTCGAAGATCGGCTGGTCAATGTAAGCTACGAAATAAAGAAATTCTAGTTCAAAATCAAATCATTCGATTTTTGCGGCAGACGTTCGACGCGTGTCTTTCATGCATCTCGCGAGATCTCGCAATTGTACGGAGAATCACCTATTGTATGTCCCCCAAAGAGTTCAGTAGGCTACAGTGTACGAAATAAATCACTCATTATCTTCACATGTTTTAAATTGTTGAATGTTTTGAACACTTTCCTCGCTATTTGTGGGAATGCTATAAAAATATGCCACAGTGGTCTAAAAACTTTTTAACTTTGAAAAGTGATGGTTGTCGTACAGCATGTGTTTGAGTTTTGTACTCGTAGATGTTGCGTGGGTGGAACACTTGTGTCAAATATGACACATCCTCTAAGACCATTGCCTTTTTTTGCAAGGCTGATTTAAATGTACTTTTCAATTGACATGTTGAGTTAGTAGCTTTACATATTTTTGCATAAATCTGACTGGATGCAGCTCTAAAACGTGTGTAGCATATAGCAATGGAAATCAACCAAAATTACAGGATGTTGATGTTCAATACACATTGCCTGAACAAGATCTGAGGTATAGTGGTTAGGCAGTGCTTGAATAAGTTGCCTTGGCGAGCAAAGATGAACTTTAAAATACCTTTGCAAAATCTATACTGCTACTGACAATCAACAAATCTTCTTTCTGAACATTGATGCAATTTACAGAATGCTGTCTTATGCATTTAGTTGCTTTTATTGGTTTCTTGTATAAACTGTTGATATTGCAATCAAATAAACATACCTTAAGTTTTTATTAACCTATTTATTTAATATACTATGAGGTTATTACAAGGATACCTGAAAATATGCACGAAGACATTACAGCTAGAGTATCGACAGACTCGCAGTAGAGGTCAATGTACTGTCTGAGTGCATACTTTGAGGTATCCTCGTAATAACCTTATTATACATCTTTTCCTTCCAAGGATACACCCTGGTGGCAGCCATGTTTGTTTTTATTATTAGAGGACGTTTGCGCATAATCATTCCATATTTGGAATTCACATTTCCTTGTATGGTAGGATGAAAATATCCTGTAAAATACCGCAAAATTACGGCATGCTGTAACTTATGGCGTTACGGTGACAGATGTATAATAATTACTGACCCACAGTGACGCATTTGATAAGAAGTCAAATATAGCATGAAATGAATTCTGAATACTGTGTCATTTCTGTACTTGCAGTGCAAAGCAAAAAATTAGAACACCGTAAAACTACATTTGTATAAACATTAGGTGACTGTGCAACACCTTATCTCTTGCAAACTTGTTCAGGTGTAACAAAAGAAATTTCAATTTAAACCAATGAATGCAAGCTACGATTTGATAGGTTGAAAAATATGAAAGGTGTTGTATGATTGGACCAAACATTTCACTACCAGTGCGTCATCAAACTTTCTACATACTGGTACAAATATGCTACAAGGTCGGACGTGAATACCAAATCATTGATTGATACTGGAGAATGCATTTTATTGGAGTACAGAAGGTGGAGGAGGGTGACCAAGGGAATTGACGCAGAAACATTCACAGATCGTCATACTAATACATGACTCATCCAACAAGACCTTCCTTCTCATGGCAATGGCCTATAATTATTGTAATGTACTTACCGGTATGTACCGGCAATTTACATCTTTCAATGCCACTCCAAGGTTAGGGTTTACTCGGTATTCTGTTGCTTTGGTTACACTGTGTGCACGTGCTGGTTGCATTGGTGACTCAATCGGTCGAGTTCATGACTCAGTACGAGTGTGCCCCTAGTGATAGCTGTGCAACTTTTTTTATTAACCTTGTGCTCAAATGGAGTACAGGTGTTATTTGTTTACACTGATATGTTTGCTGTACATGTTTTATTAGGTTGTGTAGCACCTCTCAGTGTATACACAGTACCGTTAGAACTTTGAATCAGTGTAGGGTGTGAACACTGTGCATGGAATAGCGCCCTCTAGTGACGAAAGATAGAATGTAATTCTCGGGGGCGGAGCTACATCACAAGACGTTGCTAAGACGCGCACCACTGTACTACGTATTCATTGACTGCAGGTCGGCGTTCGTTACACACGCAGGGGTATTCTTGTTACACTGTTCAGGGGAGTCTCAACAACCATCCCAAAATACCGTTTTAGGCTTTTGTTTTCACCGTGATGGTTGCCATGCGGTGAAAATGCCCGGATGGCCGCCCCCGAGAATTGAGCCGAGCCCTAAGATTATTAATTTAGCTTCTAAAGCTTACAAATTAATTTGCATATTCAAAACTAGTAAAAATGAATCTACACATTTGCATGCACGTGATGTGAATACATATCAAACAGTATGTAATTCGTAATAGCGATCCCAGCTTCAAAAAAAGAAATAAAAAAAAGATTACAACACTTTTTCAATTAACCTAAAATAACTTTGTGTCTATATCATGTATAACAAAAGTAGGTTAAATTTCTTACACTTTGACAGTGGTGGAGAAGACTCAAATTAATTAATAAAAATATGAATAATAAAAATATCACCGGAATGATTACAAAATTGTTTCCTTTGTTGTATGACAGCACAGCATTTAACATGACATCAATTCTCACATACGAGTCACCTGCAATATGAAAATTCAGTAGAGGAACTTGGTTCTTCTGGTCAAAAAACAACAACTGAACGACGTGATGACTTGGCACATATAAACAAGGTTCCGACTAGAAGAAGCATTTTCAAACTGGCAATCTAATGTCAAAAATGTACAAATGCACTCAACATCAATGACGGCCAAATAAACAATGCCTGCCCAGGTGACTTGCAATCAAGTGTACATACCTCATCACAAACACACTTTCAATTCTGTATAATGACTTAAGTTTAGCATACACCGGATAGTGTCATTTTAACAGACTTTTTCCGGAATTCCACCCGGGAAATTGCGATTCAGATGACTAGTTGTTTGGTTAAAAACAAAGGACAGTATAAATGGAAAGACTCCATTGAGGGCAGTATGCAGTTTGTTACTTTCAGGAAAAAAAAATGCGTGAAAGCATGCAATAAAATTATGCATTGACAAATGTTAAAGTAATTAAAATTCATTTTTATCTTGTCACTCTTATACGAGAGAAAACGAAATAATCAAATCACTAGATGATAAACATAGACCATGTCCTCCTAATGTACAATAAAAACAACATTGTGCCTATATCGTGCATCACAAAATTGGATCAAAGCCTTCACATATTTACAACTGATTAAAGGGCAGTGGTCGTCGCGCTGCGCATGTGCGACATTTTTGTTGATAAACATTGGGTTTCACACAATCCAATGCGCTATTCTAATGTAAATCATAAATATGAGGTTTTACTTGGGCGCGACTTGCACTAATTACCGACGGCGACTCCTTCGATACCTTCCAATCACCTAAAAAATACTTCGTAACGTCTCAGTTTGTATACGTTGATCTGCGCAACAGCCAAAGTCGCCATCTTTGTTTATACGAGACCCATATATCTCGCGCATGCGTGGCGCAACGACTACAGCCTTTTAAGATCGAATACATTTACCGTTGAGAGTGGCTGCAAAAACGCAAACCCGTAAATCGCTGCATGAATAATGAATATATAAAAAGCATACACAAATTAAATCAGACGAAATGAAAAATCGCTTCAAACATCACTGCCTCATGCACGCAGCATTGTTGACAAAGATATGGGTTATAATAATGCAGTTCGAAAGATAACCCCGCAAAATATAGGCAATTAAAAGGTGCTTTCCCGAGTGTATTGCAATCAAATCTACACCTATATATCCAACCACAACTATGTCACCAGTAGTATAAAAGACTAAAGCTCAGTAGGTACTAGATGGTGTTATTTAACTGAGTCATTTTGTTGATGTACCCGACCGAGGATTTGCGATTCGCATGACAATTATGTCCACAGAAGACAATGTGTTGTCAAGTTTTACCTTTTTAAAATAAAGGCTGGTATACGTTATTAATATCAAACCTCGTACGACGTGGCTGGAGGAACAACCTGGGGTGTTCTACAAAAATGTCCAGAGCTGCATCAAACGATGGGAGAAATGCATAACTCTGGGTGGTTCCTATGTAGAGAAAGACTAATAAAAGTTTCATTAATCTCCTGCTATGGGAAATGGGTCAGGGACATTACTTATTGAGCGCCCTCGTATAGGGCACCCATGAGCCACTGTAATACTGAGCGAGGATTAAAGCGGGGGAGTCGTCACCTGCGCATGCGACAAAC